AGTTTTTTTCGTTTCAACGACCAAAAAAAAAAAAAAAAAATGATGCATTTTCTAAAGTAACACGAAACAAGCAACTCGCGTTACTTTAGATACTCAACCAAAGTTCCTCGTGCTTTTGTAGGAATTGTACACTATTCAAAGACCGCCAGTTCCTCGAAGAACGATCACGAGATGCCCGAGAAACGTCTTTTTCCCATGAACCCCGGCCCCATTAAGGAAACGGCACCGGCTTCAAAGAAACGGTACGAAACGAAAATCCGCGAATAATAGATGGTCCTATACAGAGTCTCTGCAATGCAGTACAACCGGCAGAGGGTGATTCTTCGTCAAAAAACAAGCCAAAAATGTAAAATGAAGTTTCTACGTACGACGCTTCGTTTTCGAGAAAAATGTCTTTGAAAATCTTGGCACGGTATACGTGCAACGTCATATGCAAGTGGTTCTCTTCAACATCGATTTATTTGAAAATGAAGCTACGTATGAAAAAATGTCATTTTACATTTTCGACTTATTTTTTCGTGTAGATTTCATCCCATTTTATTTCCAATCCAAAACACATCACAATAACATGTAATATATACGAGAAATATTATGCTTTCAGTCATATCTTTTTATCAAGTTCATCAATGTTATAATATTTCGTAAGCAAATATAATTATCTTTTTTACAAATATTTCAAAGGCACTATAAATATATATATATATATATATCTCGATGAAAGCAAATTCTCAGTTATCATCCTCACCTGTTTCTCGCGGCGAATCGGTAAAATCTCGAGGAGATAAGCGAGGACGGGATGACTCCGCAGTGCGCTTTCTCGTCGAGTCTCGTTGGAAAAGAAAAAAAACAAAAGGACGGGGAATTCGACACGTGGAATCGAGGGCTGTACGAGCCGCTCGTTTTCTTCGTCCTTCAGCCGCCGTCACGGCGTCGCGAGCGCATCTTGCACACAGAGGATATAATCAAAACCACGAATAAATTCACTAGGAAAACGTCTTTGTCGCCCACCAAGTCTTCCTTCCTTCCTTCCTTCCTTCCTTCCTTCCTTCCTGTTCGCCTTCTATTCTCCCTCCTCGAGTCCACCTCCACCCCCACTATCCACCTGATTTTCACGTTCACCCCCTTAAACTAGACTTGTATTGGCCTCAAGCCAGCCACACGGTCGTTGTTCTCCACGATGAGGATACGTGGTCACGCACAAGCTCGATCTCGACCTTCATCCACCTCCCGATCCCGATCGACATTTCCGCGCGGACGTTTAATTCCAACTAATTGCGACGTTGCCACTTGCTCGTCTTCCCCGTTCGACTGCCATCTGCGGGACCATTAAACGAATTAAAACTGATCGTCCTTCCAAAACGCGGTACAGGCCAGCTATAAGCTAATACGTCTCGCGGTATCTATATACTCGGATATCCAATCCAGGTCCTCGAGTTCTTGGGGAGAAAAGGAGAGAGAAAACGAAGAGCGAAGCAAGAATACAAATATTTCGAATGGTCGTTCGCGTTACGTGTTTTTATTTCATGCTTCGTATCGTATGTTTGCAAACGCGTGCTCCTTTCTAACCGCATACTTGTAACGTGAAGATTTTACGATACGTATGTCCGCATTTTTATATGGATTTCTTACAATTGCATTAATCGCATTTATTCATTTGTTGTGTTGATGAGATTTTTCACAGAATAAACGAATCAGATAATGAATATTTTTTAGTGGTAACTTCTAAGAAAGTTTCTGAATAAGTTTCTGAAGATAAAAGAGATTACAATTTGTAATTAATTGGTTATAATTTTTATTGTAATTTCTTAAATTGTTAAGAAACAAATATTAATCGAATAAAAATTTGAAATTCAAAAAGTGACATTATATGTACATATATTAACTATTGAAACGAAAATATTAAAATTTAAGAAATTATGAAAATTATTTGCAATATTTTACGTATTATTTTCTTCAATATAGAATAATTCACTTAAGAAAAAGCTTCCATTATTCCATTATCCGAAAATTCTCTTATCCCTTAACCTTGTCTCTCTATTAGTCGTCTATAATAGAGATTTTACTACACTTATAGGATGATCTAATAATGGCCACTGTCATGCAATTGCGTAAACACTTACAAAACTACAGTTGAAATATAGAAATATTCAAGACGAGTCGAGAATGGAAGGAACGTTACATTAAAAATTAGCAGCTTCTTAAGGAAATTTCATTCAAAGCCATTTTTCCAACGCCTCTAATTGTCGCATTCATGGAAGGAGAAGTGGCGTGGTTGGCATCGGTAGATAGAAATGCTACAGGTCGTCTTCTAATGTCGTCTAGAGGGCGAGACAGAGAGAGAAATGTAAAGAGATCGAGAGAAGTAGGAGATGAGAGGTTGCCAAATATAAAAACCACGAATTACCTACCACGTGCCAGAATGAAGATGAATCCATTGAGGATTTGAATGATAGAGCGATAGAGCAAAGTATATATGCATAATCGAGAAAGGAATTAATACGAATCGATTTTCTAATTGCCCTGAATTAATAAGAATATGTATAAATTCGATTAATGTTTTTAGAGATGAATAAAAAGTATTGCTATAAAAATAAATAATTTTATAATAGTAATAATATTTCCAAAATGATTATTTTTCTTTTTTTTTCTAATTTATTTTATCTTAATAACTAATATCTTAATAATTTTAAATTTCTATCAAAGGATCTAAAATTCTATCAAAGAATTTTTTAGAAACACAATTATTCTTCTCACTTGCAAAGAAGAATTAAATTTTTATATTCGAATAATTGTAATGGATTACAATAAATTAATTTAAGTTTAAAGGATTATTACTAATTAAATGAAAGTTAGTAAATTGCAAATGTATGTAAATTATCGTTTAATTGGATTTCATGAGAATTTTAGAATCACAAAAATGGAACAGAAACTTTCAAAGTTTCGAAATTTTGAGCGTGCCATCTCTAAACGCTTTTCCTTCTATCATAAAGAAAAAATTGTCTCATTCATTTTCTATGAGCAAATTAATGGATTATGATCGATCGACGGTGTGAAACGGTTAAAACCATTACAGAGATTGCATTGCTATGGCTTTGCTTTCTGAAAGCTAATAATAAACACTATTATTAGATAATGGTTTACACATATACTAGAAACATGTTACATTTTCAATGAAAAACAGAAATGATATCGAATATTTGTATCTTCGAAAGGTTTTATCTTCTGTTTGGATATATATTTTTTAAATATGTTCAAAAGTTTATATCGAGAGCTTACTGTGTAAATTTTGTAACATTTATATTTTTTTTTATTCTTTCTTTGTACAAATTAAATTTATATATTAAAAATTTGTTTGAAATAATATTTTAATTTATTGTACGTCTTTGTACGAATCCATTATTTTGGTCAAACAAACGTATGCCTTTGCAGAGTAAAACTTTCTTTTTTTATTTTGTATTCTTACGAATTATATGTAATTTATTTAAAATTAAACTTTAAAATTTATAATTAAAATTTGTGCGTGATATATGTTTATTTCATTTTTTTTAAATAAAAATTTTAATCTTAAAAAATTAGTTGAAATTTATAATTAAAATTTGTACGTGACGTATCTTTTTTATTTCATTTTTTTAATAAAATAAAAGTTTTAATTTTAAAAGATTTTTTATTTTATTTATTAATATTTGAATCTAATATATACATATAGAAAATATTCACAATATTATATTATATATTACACGTACAAAATAATAAATTCATGTAAAATCTATGTATTTAATTATAAAATACTATTAAATATTTTAAACTGTTTTTCTCGAAAATATTAAAAATGAATATACAATATTTGTATAATAAGCTATCGATATGAAATACTTAAATTCAAATAACATTTCAATATAAACGAACAGTCTATGATATCTCCTCATCCCAAACATATTGAAATCTTCTTGAAAATATACGTACAGTATCTCACGAAACTTTTATGAATATAATATAAATGTTATAAAAAATTTAATATCGATATAAAATACTTAAAATACAAAAAAAAATTATAATTAATATTAATCTTTACCAATATAATCACGATTAATTGTAAAATATTTTTACAATTTTATTTTATTTTACAAAATGCATGTTTGCAATAATTCATACATACTTTTAAATTTATTTTAAACTTTAAATTTATATATTCAATAGACGTTTTAAAAATTTTACATACATTTTTTTTAAGAAAAATTTACACGCTAAAATGTAAAATAATTATTAAAATCAATATTTTCAAGATATCAATATTTCGTCATACATGGAGAACGAAAAATGATGATATTCATCTTATTCGAGGAGAGAATCTGCACATTCATAAAATTCCCGGTAGAAAGTGTTCAAATACTTTCGTAAGTCACTGTACGTAACTTCTACCAAACATTATTCAAACTTCAACTATACACCTACACACCACACGAAACAAACGAGCACGCGATTCAAGCCAGATTTAAAACGTGTAAAAAATGGCGAACCGGCTATAGGCGTCGTAAACAGAAAGTCCTTTAAAATAATATTAAAAAAAAAAAAAAGATAAGGTGTGAGAGGAGATGCGGAGGAAGGGTAAGTAAATGAGCGTAGCGAGACGAGGAGAGAGCCATAAAGAGGAACGAAATATATATATGTAGGCGTGAGCCAAGGTTATTGGCCGTAAGATATTAAAGATTATATGAGAATTTCATTCTTCTAAACTTCACTCATGGTCACGTTTACATTCTATCTCGTTCACTTTTTTTTTTTCCCATAAAATTCTGTTCAAAAATCAAAAGAAAAAGAAAACAAACAGGGGTACGATAGTACCACGCTCGAGGTAAGGAATGGCACACGAAGCAATCTAACAATGGTTGGTAAATAGCCTCCAACAGGAGGTCTTATCGATTTGAGGAAGAAGGATATACACGTGTGTACATGTCTGGAATCACAGGTCGCGTGGATATCGTCGAACGAGAAACCATCGGCTCGCGTGGCACGAAAAACTGGCCGGTTGCACCGAAACGAACCACTCGCGTGAAGCGAAAACTCGAATCAACGACCTTGATTACGCCTTCCCTTCCCTTCCCTTTGCCACTTTCGAGATAGCCGTGGTTGATTGCGATCGGCGTATGTATATTTGCATCACGAGTTCGCGTTTCAAGTTTCGCGACCAAAACAACAAACGGAAATAATGAACCTTTGATTCGAAATTTTGTATACCATTGATGAAACGTCGCTTGTGTTGTGTCCAAAATTGTTAATATTGAAATTTTTCTTCATTTCGATTGAATTGTAATTTTACAATGATGAAATTGTAACTTTGAATATCTGAATCGTGATGAAATTCGAATGAAATTATGTATATTTTAATGAAATTATGATTGATGAAATGTCGATGATGTGCAAAATTGTTGACATCGTTCATTTTTCAATTTCGATAACACTGAAAGTGATAAAATTATAAGATGGAATATAAATCAATAGTAACGAAAATCTTTGATGACAAGATAAAATTAATTGAAATTTTAAATGAAAGGATATCTGTATTGAATTCGTATATTGAATAGTCGATTGAATGACGACAGTAAATTTGTAATTGTTTCCTCAATTCGTGAGCTTTTAAAAATAACGATACACGACTGAAATGTTCATCGAATATAAAACTCTATTATTGATAGAATCCAATGAAATGATAATAGAATCAAATAATTTAGTACAAAATAATGACTGAACCCGAGTAATGTGTCACCCAAGTAATACATGATACTAAATAATGACTGAATTGTGATACCGAGTCTATGTAATATGATACTGAATAATGACTGAATTCGAATAATATGGCACTGGATCAAAGTAATCTGATACCTAATGACTGAATTCGATGATAACGTGACAGTGGAGCAATAGCACGATATAATCATTCGAATATTCAAATAACACGATATGGAATAATCATTGGATCTACCTAAAACCAAATACAGAGATTTGAATTTTTTCAAACGTTTAATCTCTCGATTCCTCTTCGTTTTTTCACTAACAATAACACTGTCATGATGTGACAACCTACGTTTAATAAAACAAGAATATAATTTCGCGTTGCTAAATACTCGTGGCCAATTATAGAGCTATATACAACGAATAAACACTGTATGTACACAGAGAAATCGTTCGACAAAAACACTCGCGCATTCCGCGGTCATTTTTGCACTGAAACTCGAGGTCCAGTCGAACGTATCTCAACACAATTCACGAGAGAATAACGCATGAAAGGAAGAAGAAACGACGATCGAACAAAGATTGAAAGAAAACTGCGGAATGTAGAGGAACGTTGGCGATAAGGAGAAAAGCATGACGAGAAAATGCACACGCGTATCCCTCGGTCAAACACGAGCATCGAACTTGGACGTACCCATCGCCGACACCACGGCACGATTGTAGCCAATGAGATCGCGCGATCTCAGCCGCATTGGCGGTGCGTGAGAGAGGTCGCAGGGAAGAGAAACACACGCGGCAACTCGGTGTCTCTCCTTTCAAGAAATGGAATCGTTCCGACCTCTCGATCCGCCCGAACTCCTCGATCGAGCACCAACATTTCCCACCTAACCGAAATTCTTCACTGTTTCTCCGCCCTTCCTTGCTACGCTCCTTCTTCTCCTCCTTCTTTCTCCTTCTTTACCTATCTCACTCTCCGTCTCCACTCGCGCGACCCGTATATACGCCAAACAAAGGAGGACACACGGACGTAAATATATACGAACTGTGTATCACCGTGACCGTCTTCCAAGCACTGTTTAACATTGACATTGGCAGCGCGGTCGCGCGCTACCAAATCACGTTGCACGTCTCCTCTTTCTCTTCGTCCACTTGGAAAAACGTCGAACAATCACCAAACGAGGCTCAAGTGACTTTGCCCATTCGCCACTCACTGTCGATACGCGACACCGACCGATCGGTACCACCAACGTTCGGATCACTAGAGGAATCCTCTCCAACGATCACTATGCATCCTCTTCTTGTTGAGAGCAACGAAATCACCGTGCACGCACGGTGATCATGTGGCTAGAGCCGGAGGTCACGCACCGGTGATTCTTGCCACGATCCCCCGGCACCGCAGCAAACTTTTCGTCCACGATTGATGAGGATAATCTTTCTCTACCTTCCCTTCTCCGTTTCTCTCTCCTCCTTCCCCTTTAGTCTCAATTAATCCTGCGATGCGATATCGGCCTGCAAATCTGTGTGTATTGCCCCACGACCATGTAACATGTACATCTTCACGAAGAAGAAGAAGAAGAAGAAGAAGAAGAAGAAGATATCTACAGTCTCGCGTTGAGAAGAAGACAGAAATTAAAGAAAAAGAAAAGAAAAGGGGAAAAAAGGAAAAGAAGAGATCGTAAGAGAAGAAACGAACCGTGGTGATCGTAACGCGGACGTAAACGATCAACGGAGTCGCAAAGCGAGGTAACTCGCGTGTGCCTTGAAAAAGAGAGCGACGATGGGTCCGTAGAGCCGCGAGGGCGACGAGAAGAGGGGCGGGGGGGGGGTGTAAGGAAAAAGGCACCCCGACTTAAAAGAAAAGGCGGGCGGCCACGAGACTCCCGCGCGGAGCCCAACGTTTCGCCTCACTGCCGGGCTCACTGCAGGCTCTGACGCACCAGCCTGCCGCCCCCTGTACGCCGCCACCTCCCCTTCCCAACACCCCCGACTCCCCTTACTATCCGTTACTACCCCTTCGACCGCCCACCTTGCTTCCTACCCTCGCCATCTGGCTCGCTGCCTGCATCGCTGCCTGCATGCCTACCTGCCTGCCTACCTGTGTCCACCTATCCACCCTATCCAGCTAACTGTGATCTCTCTACTCTCGACCTCCCTTGTCTCGACACTTTTGCCCCAAACTGTTTACACACTTATGCCTATGCTAACTCTCTTCTCGCGCTTCCTCTTTATCCGCCTGCCTCTCTTTCCTTCTCTCGTCCCTCTCGCCACCTCCACCGCTTTCCTAATACCTAGCAGTAGTACCCTCTCTGTTTAGCGTGGTCTGTTTAGAGGCGTTCTCTTGTCGCTCTTTCGCGATCAAACTGGAGGATTTCTACTTGACTGTGTGTCGCACAGGCGCACGCACACACATACACATATACACACACCGCGGGCTTTACAGTGTCGTAGTTTCGGCGCACACGCGCACCTAAGGCGTGCGGAATACCATACCAGGGCTACCGGCGCACACCTGCGCCGTACCGTGTCGTACCGTGCTCTCTCCCCACTACCACCGAAAACCTTCTGACCACCATACGCGATTTCGCTCCCTCTCTCGAGCGCCGCTGCTGCCTCTTCCTTTCCTATTCGGTTATCGTGGTCTTCCGTATATCCGTTGCGTGCATTTCTTCCCGATGCTTTGGCATTATCGTTATCGTTCGTTTGTATTCATAAAAATAGGGGGGAGAGGGTGAAATGGATTACCATTGTTTTTGCATGCGATTCCTTACTTCTTAGGATTCATTTTATACGTGGTCTTCTATATTTTTTTGCGTGCAACAAATTCTTTCTGCTCTTTGGTATTTTTTCTTTATCGCTTATTTGTGTGTATATATGTAAAAGTAGAAGAGAATAAAATAACTTTACTTATATAAAATAGAGAAGAGCGAGATAAATCGGATATTATTGTTTCTATGTTGAATGTCTTTACTTTCTGCTTTGTTTTCGTTACTTTTTTATATATGATTTTCCATATTCCCGTTGCGTGCATCATCGATTTCTTCTTTCTGATGGTTTGATATTCTCGTTATCACTCGATTGTATTCATAAAAATAAAAATAGGAGGGAGTAGGTTGAAATGGAGTATCATTGTTTTTACGTTTCTCTTTCTTTCATGATGCTTTTTTTCTTAAAATTCTTTTTATATTTTTCTAACTTTTTGCGTACACCAAATTTTATTTTTTCATCGTTCATTTACACTTATAAAAGTAAAATAGAGTAAGATACTGTTGTTTTGTTAAGTAATGTCTTCATTAATTCTTACTTTTTTTTAATTTTTTTGTATATGTATATTCCATTGCGTGCACCGATTTTTCTTCGTTTAATCTCCTCGTTAACAATTGTTTATTTCCATGAAAGTAGGAGAGAATAGAGTAAAATGGAATATTATTGTTTTGTTGAATGATCCCTCTTAATGTTTCTACATAGTTCCTTTTGTATATGATTTTCCATATTCAGTTGCGTGCACCAATTTCTTTCTGTATTTTAATATCCTCATTATCGTTTGTATTCGTAAAAATTAAAGAGAGTACTATAAATTAAAATATCATTCTTTTTTATTAAATTTATGAATACTTTTTTTTACATAAATTTTTTCTATCGATTTTTATTTTTTGATCCTCTCATTACGAATTGTTTGTTTCCGTAAAAAGCAAAAGACAGAGTGGGCTAAAACAGGACACTATTTTTTTATTGCATGACACTTCTTAAATATTTATCCTTCTATTATATAAATATTTTTTTATAATATAGCCATAATTTAAAAGCAACATATTAAATAAAAATTATTCTATTCTCAATAAGAAATTAATCGAAATATAAATTAAGTTAATGATTGATTTTGCGATTAAGTTCATTTGATTCACATTGATGTTAAAAGCTAGGGACTAAAAATCTCCATATAATACATAATATATGTATGCAGACCTCGAGAAAACAATAGACAGAAAACTTGTATAAATAAGCTCTCTTTCATTAAAATCAATCTGGATACGAATAAAGTATTACATGAATATATCGTATGTTTGTCATTACAATTAGGTCTCCAGCAATTTTTACAATAAAAAATGTATATATGTCAAAAACGTATAATATTATTACAAGAAATTTTTAATCGAACAAACAATAACAAATTTTTTGAAATTACCATATTTTTTTGAGATATATTTTTGAGATATATATTGAAAATAAAAATTAAATTTCTATTAATTATAAGAACAAAAATTTACGAAAAAAGACGAATGAAAATAATAATTCTTTTATTAATTTGCAGTACTTCAAATTTCAACAATTTACATAATTATAGAAAATTTTTTTATTTTCTTACAATTGTAAATACAAATAATTAATCTTCATGTAAACAATGATCAAAAATTCTCAAAAACGTCTTATTATTATTTCATTCAATTCAATTATCGAATTCCATTGTACATAATGAAATTTGTCGATGTTTCATAAATCAATGTTTGAAAAAATTTTTTCCTCGTTTTCTTCCATTGCTCTTTGAAAGAATACAATAGAACCTCTCTTATACTAACAGAAAGACATCTTTCAAAAAAAGAAACAGATTTTTTTTAGATGAATTATTTTACATTTTCAGAAAAGAAAATGAGATTAATAAAATGTTTGAATATTAAAATATTCAAATATTGAAGATTCTACTGCACTCCTTAACCTTTTCTCTTGTAATAACATCTCTGAGATATCATATTTTTAATACTTCATTGAGATGTTATATAATTTTTAATTAATAATTTTATTAATTATATTATTCTATCAACAATTAGAAAATATAAATTTGATAATTTTGAATATTATTATCTTTTTTTACAATTTTTATTTAAAAAATTTTTATTAAAAAATTTTTACAATTTTTTATTAATTAATATGGAATTGAATATGAACGAAATTGAATTAATATTTCTTCATCTCTCGATTGATTCGTAAGGTAATTAAGAAAGAAAATTTTTTATGCTTGATTAAATAGTAAAGTGGACGTCATAATGTCGTACAGAAAATTTGAAATAGTATGGAGTACAAATGCACAAAGGAAGTGTCTCTCGCTAAAAGATTCTTTATCTTTGCTAAGTAATCCCATTCAGGAGGATTAATCGTAACTTTGATTCGAAAAGCTTCATACGAAGAATAAACTCGCGAATCGAATTGACTTTAAAGTTGAATGGAATAAAATTATTTCATTGTGGAATTTCGAGTCGTATTCGTTTTACGGTGCTGTATAACGTTATACGTCATGAACGATGCTTTTAGAAGAAAGTAGGATGAAATGGAATATTGAAGAAGATATTTTTATTGTTATATAATAGATTAAAAAGTAAAAAATATTTTAAACGTTACTATTAACGTTAAAATCATGGATTTGGATATCAAAGAGAACAATTTTTTAATAATTAATAATTATATTGCGGATTTTTATTTTAAATTAACTCTTTATGAAAAGATTAAAAAAATAGAGCTTAAGGATTTGCCTTATTTTATTATAAATAAGAATTTATTAATTTATTAAATCAAGCATATGAAATATGTTATTTTTTCAAAATATATATAGAATTAGTAAGACATTAAATTTGAGTTTGACATTGATGCATATTAACATATAAAAAAATAAAGAAAATTTTAATTTATAAATATTATCGTTTTATTACATTTTATGTAAGAAGATAGTCGAAATTCATATTTACTTAAAATTTTAAAATCATTATTCTATAAGTTCTAAGGTATCATGAAAATATAATTATTAATGCAATATATTGATTGCACATAACTATTTTATAATAATAATCCATTTTATCCTATTTCATCTCCCAATTTTAATGAAAAAGTAAATGAAAAAAATTAATGATATTTAATGATGTATGATCCAAAGATCAATATCGAAGTTTTTCTTACATAAAAAATAATTTTAAAACAGGTTAAAAAATATAGAAAATAATTATTTTCGATTATGATTTGAGAATAATATTGTTTAAAAAATAATTTGAAATTTCGATTGAAATTTTTATAATTCTAAAATTAATTTTTCAAAAAAGCGTTAATTAATTGTACATAATTACAATATAATGTTATTATGTTCTGAATTATAAATTATATTTATATTTAAATTTTTTAAATTTTAAAATTCTTTTTTTTTAGTATTCTTTATAATTTATTCATTTTCTAATTAATTTAAAAACAATTTCAGAACTTTATTGTTTCGCAGTAAGACAAAATTTTTCTGTGAAAATGTTGTCACGAAATTATTAATATTATACCGGCTCTGTTGGAAAAGTAGTGTTCGCCCAATGTCGTTATCATCAACAACAAGAAACCGATCCAAACTTAGTACCGCTAATAATTAAGCACTCTAGGTAGATGGTAAGAGGCATTGAGTTAGGAAACGAGGCAAACCGCTTGTTAAGTGTGGTATGTATGTACTTATACTTGTGGTTTTTCAATTTACCGAACCAGAGGAAATATTCATTTAATTTAATCAACTATATCTAGTTAAATTATTTTACCATACAGGATGTTAATATTTGTGAAACTTTAAAAGATCTTTAAAAGATCGATTCTATAAATTCAAAATAAAAATGAAGCTTATTTATAAGTAGATTTATGTATGCATTTAAATAAAAATTTAAATGTACAAAGAACTATAGAATGCATATAATATGTTAATATATTATATATATATAAAAAATTAAAAATATTCAAAATATAATATAAAAGTATAAGTATATAAAATATTCAAGATATAGTATATATTATGATATTTAAAGAATATGTAATTGTATGTCATTCTATGTAAGCTCCATTTCTTTTACCGTATTCATAAAAATTTTATTTTGCATAAACTGCAATATAGTTATGAGCAATTCAAATTTATTTTATGAAAGAAGACAAAGATACAGTGAGACAACGATATCTATTGATATTTTATTAATATTATTATAAACATATTCATGTAAATTTTAAATTAAATTTAAATTGTAAATTTTAAAGTAATTAATTTTTAAAAGATTTTTATTTGACATTTATTTTTTATAATCATTGTAAATTCGTTTTCTTTGTAATGTTTATAAAGAGTATAAATTAAAAATTATTCTTAAATTTAATTTATCTGATAATCAGTAAAAACAAAAAAAATTTGAATCCAGTTAAATTATTTCAATATTGTTAGATCAGAATAATCATATTAATAATATCACTTGACCAATTGATTTAATTAAAAATATAAATTAATAATTTTATGATATCAAAAAATTTATCAGAAATCAAAAATCATGAACTTTTTAAAAATATCAAGAGAAATTAGACATCTATTCAAATATTATATCTAGAAATAAATTCGATGTTTTTCTAAAAATAAAATTATTATTTATTTAAAAAAAAATATTTTTTTATGGAATGCTTGTTATTAGCATTAATAATTTAAAAAATCAAACAAATTATAATATATTTCATTTATAATTCCATTTATTCTATTTATATCTTATACTTGAATTAGAATTATAAAGGTTTAATATAAAAGCAGCGAATCAAGTTCTATACCTAATAGAATAATATTATAGTATTGGTGTGATTTGTCAAGTTGATTTTTGACGAACGAGAGATTCGAATCAGGAACAATTCGAAGTTATTACAGGAGAATTGTAATTTCCGGGGAACAAGCGCTTAATGGCGAGAATAGTTGACATCGACATCGCACAAATAAGATAAGGAACTTTTACTTGCTATACCTTACCGTTTCCAAACACCTATGACCTCTTTTAATCGATCATCTCACCAAACAATATCTCTCACATTTTATGTCATTTTTCACTGGTTAATTAATAATAATAACGATAATTCAATTTCTGTAAAATAGATTTTTCATTTAAATTTCAAATTTTTAATTTACGTTATATATAATTTATTTTTAATATGAAAAAAATCAAATAAATTATAAATTTTCTGAAATTTTAAATACAGATAAATTTTATTCATTATAGTTTTTATAAAATAAATTTTTAATTTAAATTAGAATTTAAATTCATAAGCTAGATATATAATTTGCTTTATTTTTAATAATGGCGACTTTTAAAAATTCAAATAACTATAAATCTTCCGAATCTACAATGCAAGTATTTTTAATAATTTTATTAAATTTAGAAACTAAATTCGAAAAATTTTTAAATGATAGAAAGAAATGATTATCAAAAAATGAAAAGAAAAAAATTTTAATAATAATGACAGTTAATAATATATTTACCTATATTATTTTAAGCATAGAAAAATATAAAAATAATATAAAACGCTTTCTTCAAACATGTCACAACGTATCTACTGCAGCGCTATATATACAAAAACTCAATATACTTTTGGCGCCAAAACATTAAATATCTCTCATTTTGTATTTAATGAAATATTAATTTTTAAATTCTTAATGTTCCATAATTTTATCATTTTTTTTATAAAATAAAAAAATAACAAATACAATAAAAAAGAAAATAAAATAACGAATAGAATATGAATTAAAACAATATTCATCAATTATTCTTTATTTTTTCCAATGAATGTTAAATTGAAAAACGATATAATTTTGTTTAATTATTGTAATATAAAATTCTACAATTAAAGAAAAAAAAATATAATAATTTCACGTAATAAAATATTTATCAATTATTCTAAATTATTTAAATTTATTTAAATTTTTTTAAATTTATTTAAATTTATTTAAAGTTGCAATTGATTTTCTTGGAAATTTCCACTATTTTTAATCCCGCTATCGATATCACAGGTAAGAGACCGGAATGATTTGGTCCAGTTAACGCGATGAGCCGACCATTTACGTTACGTGTAACAAAAAATAACTCTCGTTCAATACCGCAACGTACGATATATACATATGGTTACATTAATACAAGCATCATTCTTTTCTTTCATAAACTTTTGTAAACATTGATCTTTTGAATTTTTTAAAAAATAAAATGATGTAATACAATTTGATTAATCATCCATATGAATGTTAAAATAAAGTATACAAGTTATTTTTATTTAAACACTTACTTATTCAATTTTGCATACATATAATAGTTTCTAAAAAGATATTGGGATAATTAACAAAATTAAGTATGTAATTTATTTTATTTGCATATATAAATATACATGCAACAGTCATGAAAGAACTAATTTTACGTTATTACGTTTCATATATATTTATGTACACATATAGAGAATATTGAAATCATAATAGTCGTAATAAAGTTTGAATATTTATGGATCTGTCACGTCCATATTGCGAGGTGTTACACAAACTGCTACAATAATTGAAATTTTTAAATTCTGACATTTAATTCGCCTAAATTCATTTACACAAATTACCTTCATACCAACCATAAATATAGAAAATTTCGAATTAACAAAGTATTAAGAAATAACTGCATATAAATCAGAAGTCCAAATCTGCTTACCTTGCAATATCCTTACTTGAGTATCTGGTCGCTGTAAAGTATACAGAAACTAAATACTCAAATGTGATGAGTTTCGATATTACACTAATAACAATAGGAAATACAATACATTATTGGCAATTGCATTAATTCATCGTGACGTGTGTGGTAACGAAAAAGAACAATACAAGAGATATTTTATCGAGATCAATAATCTTGTACGGAGTCATAATTATTATAGGGAGGGGGATCTGGACGACCTTCTGGAATTCTATACTTCTCTTCTACTTCTTGATCATTATCGTCTTCGTATTTTACAGCGGTAAAGTAAGATCCAGACGTTGAGAAAGTATTGCTATAATCAGGGTAATCTGAAAAATTTTCACAAGAAAATTAGCATTTTCATCAATTATAATTAAATCTATAATTGAATTATAAAAAAAAAATAATTGAAATGAATTATAAAAAATATACCATCCAAAGGTTCCTCTTTAATTCGGATTTCTTTTGTATCTTCCTCTTGACGATCACCCCGATCTTTCCGATCTCTACGTTCGCGATCACGGTCACGCTTGTCTCTCTTACGGTCTCTATCACGATCACGATCGGTACTTCTAGAACGTCTCCTCTTACGATCCCGTTCACGATCACGTTCACGATCACGATCTCTCCTATCCCGGGGCCGTTCGTCTCTCTGAATCTCTTCAATGTCTGGATCAGGTAAACGATCGCGACTTCGCCTACGTTTTCGATCACGCGACCTACTTCTTGTTCTTCTTTTACGATCTCGCGATCTTCTACGCTCCCTGTCCAAACGATCACGGTCTCTGCAAGCAAAAATAAAAAAATTAAATTTAATACTTTAAAAATATATTGAATTGTAATATAATAAAATTGTCTGTTTCTTCTATATTTTTTTCATTTATCGAATTATGTCGTAATATAACACACCTGTCTCTATCAAGGCGTCCAGAATTCTCCCTCTCTCGTTCCAAACGATACCGTTCTCGTTCTCTTTCGTTATCTTCTCGACCAGAATGTTTAATGTTAACATCGGGTCCACCTCTTCGAGTACCACCAAGTCCACCGCCAAGCCTTCGCGGTAACCATCCTTTCACCGTCCTAGCTCGTTCCACGTCAACCAATACTCTCCGACCATCTATTTTCTTACCATCCGCATGCTTATAAGCAGCTAGAAGTACCGATTGAAAATTACCATTTGCTCGCGATCACTATGTTCACTATTTAATAAAACTATGAGACTTCTATGTCTCGAGGAAATAAATCTTGAGGTGGCAGAAAAGATATATATATATATATATATATTTTTTTTTTTTTTTTTTTTTTTTTCTGAAAAGACTTCAATCTTTAGACTTGACAGTGCGAACCGTGAAATTTCGGCAATTTTCGGTCTCGTACAAATGAAAAATATACAGACACGAATACAAAGAACAATCTGAGAATACGATATATACCGAAAACACAAAAGAGATAATATATAACGAGTATCAAACGATACATTTGCTACATTACCTATATTAATTCTTTTTTTTTTTTTTTTTCTTCCGAAATTATTTTCATCTCTGTTAGATATGTTGCTATTGTCTTGACGGAATTATCCAAACTAATAATCGTTACACGTTTTTCAGAAGTGATTGAGGTCGTAAGGTATCGGCACATATTATTCCTGATTATATACACGTACCGATTATAACGTGCGCTCTTTTATAAAGTAAAATGTGACAGTACGTACCATCACGAGGCAAAGTCCTTGAATTAAACTAGTCAATTTCTGTGTTCAAGATACCATGAGATTGCGTATAAAGCGTACAAAGCGCCGAATGTATAATGATATTACGTTTACTATAGGTATTTACTAAAAGAGAAAGAGGGTCCGGATACCGTACCGTTATGATCATTTTACCGTATAAAATCACGATTCTACGTTATATTCGCGGAGCATAAAAATCAGTAATAAAATGTACGGATTTTTCGGTACCTTAAATCTACAGTTTGTAAAGTTCAAAAAATGTATAGCAGATACAAAAATACCTACCGCGGCTACTTACGTACGGAAGTTAACACAAATCTTAGAAGTACGTTTAATCGTGAAATGAACTTGTAAGAGACTCGCGAGCATAGAGTAGGCCAGCGCGTATGCTATTCATTGGGAAGGTGCCCAGTCTTCATATGTTCGTTCAATCTCCGAAGAAGTTTACTTTGCATTTACCTGGTGCGCTTTTTTTTTTTTTACTTACGACCAAACCGTGCGCAAGTATCGTATGCTTTATACTTTATATTATATTGTGTTCTAATTACATATTATAAATTTAACGTAACGTTAAAACGAGAATTTATTTTTTTTCTTTTTTCGTTCAATAAAGGGGATACTTTATTTCCACGGAAAAAA